TTTCCCCTTGTTTTCTCAACAGGGCAAAGAGGGGAAAGAAGATAAACTAACCCTTGCGGGTGAAGCAAAAGCAGTTTTAATATAAGCAAAATGAAGCAAAGGTCCGCGCGTAGAAGCAAAAGCGAACAGATTTATTCTCTACTTCCCATGGACAGGCGCTGTGGAGCCTTCTCAGGAAGCAGGGCTCCAGTACGCGTAGTGGTTGCCTCGGAGGGCCAAGGGTGACCCCCCCTTCCTCCTTTCTCCCAGCTTTATACTGAGCAGACGTCGTATGGTCTGGAATATCCCTTTGGTCAGTTTGGGTCAGCTGTCCTGGCTGCGTCCCCTGCCAAGATCTTGCCCACCCCGTCCCACTGGGGGAAATGTCAGAAAGAGCCTCGGTGCTGTGTAAGCACTGCTCAGCAGTAGCCACCACACCAGGGTGCTGCCAACACCCTGCCAGCTCCCAGCACAAACCACAGCACCGTGGGGGCTGCTACAGGGGAAACCAGTTCCAGTTCAGCCAGACCCAGTGCAGTCTGTAAAAGTAGCAGTTCTGCTGTTGCCAGGTCCACCCCTGCAATTCCGGAGGTGGTGGCGGAGCAGCGGGTCCAAGCACCCTGGATTTGTGGGGCATGCTCCGCGTCCCGTTTCCCTGCTTTCGACACTCACGAGCATGATGGTTATCTCTTTGTCAGTGCTGACAATTTTTCCGACATTCTGATTTAAAATGGCCCAATTTTCCACAATTAAAACACTTTGTCCCTTGCACAACTGGTGCCACTGCAGCTCCTCCCGCAGCAGCCACAGAGGCAGCTTTTTCCTGGTCAAGCATTCGCTCAGCTGCCTCCAACGGCTGACCAGCAGTGGATCCTCGCGGTAGAGACTTAAGGCTTATTCTCCTAAGCAAGCATATCAAGAAATTGGTCTTTCATTTCATCGTTTAACTCAGGATAACTATTAATAGCAACATGCAATCCATCAATAAATTCTGACTAGGACTCCGTGGGTCCCTGTCATCATGGACCCCATCTCCTCCCCAGGCGCTCACCGGATCAGGGTGAGATTCCCGACGATTGCGCGCGCACGTCTTCCCAGGCGCTGGGGCAGCGCCCGCTCCGGCTGGCTCCCGCCCCTCGGGGCCGTCTGCTCCTGCTCAGGCGAGCACTGACGGGAGGGTCCCTGCTCGGGCACCACTTGCTGGCGCGCGGCTCCCGGACACAACTTACACACCCCATGTGATCAAGTTAATGCCACTTTATTAAAGGATACACGGACTCTACAGACTACCATAAAGTACAGGCGCAGCTACGGGATTGCTGATAGGCTAAAGCGACTTGTCCACGCGCCCTTTTGCCCTCTGTGGTTGGTCCCAGTGCAGTGACCATGGGCCACTCTCCTACAAGGCAAACACGTTGTTTCCAGCAGTCCAGCTACACAGGCAGTTTCTCAATCCGTGGCCTTGCAGGCGTTCTTCACACCAGCTCCAGCCTGTTCTGACAGTGAGGCCACGCAGGATGGATCGCCTGTGACTTCTGCGTTGTCTCCAGCCGTGGCACATGCTGTCTCCAGGCTGCCCACTGCAATCAGGGATAGTTTTGCCTTGGGGGCTTGCGGGATCACCTGCAGCAGCACTGCCAGTCCCGTTTCCACCAGGCGCTGACACGCCTGCAGAGCTGGGCACAGGACTCCCACAGGCCACGGCCCCACTTGCACAGCCCCCGGGCCACCCGGGAGCCCCTGGGCCACCCGGGCACGCATCCTGCGCGTGGGCACCCGCTGCTGGGGACTGGGCTCCGCTGGGCTGCTCCCACCCGGAACCGCCCAGATGGTGCTGACCATGTTCACGGGGGAGCGGCTGCCTGACATCATGGGGCCGCTCAGATCTAGCTGCAGGGATTCCATGTTTGGAATCCTTCTCTCCTCTCCATGCTCAGCCTTGTCGGTGTCCATGTAGGGCACAGGCTGCTCTATTCCATTGACCTTGAGCCACATTGTGGAGAAAACCATCCATATGCAGGTGTGGTGACTGTTGGGGTCCAGCTCCACATCCCTGGGTGTCTGCGCGTTGTAGCCCTCATTGCCAGGGACATTCTCTTGACTGGTCCCTCTTGACTGCTGCAGTGGGGAGCCCAGGGCTGGTCCCAGGTTCTGCACCAGTCCCTGATCATCCTTGTGGGTCTGGGCAGGTCCTGAGCGCTCTTGTGCTGCCAGCTCTGCCATGACACCGCGGCAGGAC